TCATTGAACAACTTTGTTTAAATGCCAAAGCAAAAATTGTACAATATATTTTTCATTCCTGAAATAATGCTTTTGTAATGTGCCACTTGACTTGGAAAGATGATTTTTGTCTTACACTACTCCTTTTTTATAGTAAAAAAATAAAAATATCTTTTTTTATATATGCATAATATTTGTTTTATTGACAATAAACAAATAATTGATGGTTTTATGCCCGGATCAACACGTTTTGTCTATCTCGAATTTTTGTTATTACATTTAGCTTTGATTGTAACCTTTGCAGACATAATTAAAATGTCTTAAATCAATGAAAATACACATTCATAACATTTAAATGTAATCTCTTTAAATTATCTGTTGGTGGGTCTCAAGAGTTCTCGATTTGCTACTGATACCCTAACCCTACAACTACGGTAAAATTATTTCCTCTCCAAACCTAAATTTTCATCTTGACGCTCTCCCTTCATACATTCCACAAAAAAAAAAAACATTCCCACACTATAAATCATGAATTCATTGGTTTGATAGTAGGTCGTCGACAAGTTCTACACAGACCTTGTCCATTCACACTTAACCACTCACGCAAATAAATACATTCACACAATTACGTAGTCACCAGTGTTGTTGTTATTACGCCAGTAAACTACCCCTACACTTCAAATATATGTAAAACTAAATAGTCTAGAAAACTTCGATAAGTTGGTACTTGATATTTCAACACAAAAAATACATTAATAAATACATAAATAATAAATACATTAACTCAAATTAAGAATATTATTTCAACTTATCTGCTTAAAGTATCTAATCAACTTCTTATTAACGCTCTCTAAGTTCTTCAAGACAATTGTTCTTTTGAAGAACTTTAGCAAATCTTCCATAATTCGGGAGTTCTTCTTAAATATTCTAGATTTGAATAAATAATTAAAACATGAAACAGATACATTGCTCAACATAAAAAAGTGGCGCACTTTGAAATTTCAATTTATATGTTAAGTTGACAATTTTTTGTCACCATTTTTTGTTTAATATTTCAAAACTCATTCCATAATTATAATTATGGAAAGTTTTTTGTGGGGCAAAATCGCCTAATTTTTATTTGATTTAAAATCACCACGTAAATCATCTAAAAGGCAAAATCCTTGAAAAATGTGTTCATTCACTATTGTGTTGGTGGCAGGAAACAAAACTATTAGAAAAATGTCCATCATCAGCGAGCAAGTTGCCAATGCCATTGCCCTTGTTGAGGATAGAAGAAATCAAAGTTAAGCTGCGGTAGTTTTAAATTTGTCTAAAACGACAGTTATCGAGCATTCAGCCGTTCCAGGAGACTGAATGGTGTACTCGGAGACGAGCATCGGGATCCCAAGACAGAAGAGGCCAGCTGACGACAGACTTCACACTCAGACATCTGTGCCTTTTCTACTGTTTCGGAAACGTCTCAAAGACTTCGAACTGTGGAGAGTGTGTCCGTTAGTGCTGAAACAGTGAGAAGGAGACTTGGAGAAATGGTACACCAGACGGACAACAACGGGTCCAGCGATTACCAGAGACCATCGTCGGGAGAGTCTGCAAGGGACACCGACAGGATCTCAGGATAATTAAGGAATGTTATGTTTTCAGGCTTTCTCTCTATTCACCAGATGGACGTCGTTCAGTTTATCTTAGGAAGAGGGTGGTTTAGTATAATGTAGAGGGGAATTTCTTTGGATGCAAAAACGGAATTATACGAGTTATACGTTTTAATAGGTCGCAGAAACCTACGTGACAGATATTCTTAAGGTATATGTGGTGCCATATCTGCAAAGCTCTTCTAAGGGCCAAGATGCGGGACACGAGTAGAGAAAGACCTAGTGGTATATGTGGTGCCATTTGTTCCTGTTATTGTTGAGAAAGTTTTGTTTATACAAGTTAATGCAAGACTGTCGCCAACAGTGTAATGCAGTGTTTTCTATATGTCGACATGTACATTCCAAGAAAGCCAGCCTGATTTGGATCCCATTGAGTAAGAAATAACCCTCATACAGCTTTAGCTGAGCTGAGTATTACGGTAGTTGAGATTTGGTATGAAATTCCTCGAGAGGTGGTTAAAACCTTAATTATGAGCATGCTGAGAAGATTAGAGTGTTTAATAAGAGCTAGAGAAAGTAATACTTCATACTAAAGATGTTTAAGTTTGGTTTATACTGTCTATTGATCATTCACACAAAAGCGATTTTTTCTTTTCATTTTTTATTATTTTTTTTATTTTTGAGAGGTATTTTTAATTTCACACTAATCAAATATTTTAATAAATCCCTGAAATATAATACTACTGAAAAGGCGAGTACATAAAATGAAATCAAAATTTCGAAGTGAGCCACATTTTCTGTAAAGCAGTGCATTTTTATGCATTATAGACTCACGTTGAGCAAGTGATTGCTATGTTTTATAAAGTGTATAGTTTAATTTCTTTCTTTTTTATTAATTTTTTATTTAATTTTCTTTCTTATTTTTCTCTTCGTCTTATGGCTCTTCATTCAAGTAACCCAGTCGATGTTTCAAAATTTATTTTTATTTTCCTCTGGTTTTAAATGAACAAGGTCTTTGACATAAGTGGCAGAAATGGAAAATGTGACGAGTTGCTTTAAGTTTAATCTATCGTTGCAGGCAGCATGGAACAGGTTGTACAACAAATATTATTATAAGTGTGTAAGAAATATTTTGTTATTCAATTGTGATGAGTGGGGATATGAATGAAGGGAGACCGGTGAGTTTGGTGGTTAGGCGAAGGTATTGGTGACATGTTGTATGTTTGCAGAGGGGATGTCGGCAGGAAGAAGTAACTGGGCAGTAGTTGGCCGTACGCCAGCATAGAGAGCGCATAGGCGCCAAGGTAAAGCTCATAAACAAACATACATACGACACATGACTTGACTGACCGACAAACGGACTCACACGTTGGCCGTTGTCGCTGCATAGATAGCACCAGTTGTTGTGTTTTGTCATTATTTCGATCCCAACAACCTCTCAGTCTGTTCCTCGTTTTTTCTAATAAATGAATATTCATATCACAACAAACTTTGCAAAAAACGATTAGAGAATAAAATTTAATTTTTTTATTTAAATTAAATCCTAGAATCAGCATAGAAATATATCTATGAAAACCCATTGAATTAATTTGTGACTGTAATCGCCCATCATAATATCCAAAATCCCACGTAGAACTGACTTTTTTTTTACTTTTAAAGAAACTGACTTGAAAGAAACGATCAAAATCTACAAACAACCCCCTCCCACAAACAAATAAATTATTTTTGACAAGATAACGGAACGGCGACATAACAGCCATTATTTCTCTTAATAAATATTGTGGTTAACTGTACAGCATGGCATAAGCACCAACTATTATGTTTATTTGTTACGTTTATTTAAAATATTTTGTTTGATTATATAGGTGTTGTTTAAATCAATCTATATGTTGTAAAGCTTTCAGACTTATAAGCCCGACCCTAGCACAACTTTTTTTTTACAACTAGTTTTTCACTGTTATAGATGTGTTTATCATAGTTTTGTTGAGTGTTGTACTTTTTATTTACCGTTTATTTATGTTACGTTTGTTTCTTTCAACAGGGTTTTATTTTTATTGTCTTACTTTTTTTTCCCACTCAGCCTGTGTGACCCTGTAAATAACTATCCTCAAAATTTAATGAATGTACATACCAGAATAAATTAGAACGAAACAGATTTGGATATTGAACAAAAGCCGGGTATGTTTTTCCCACTTGGACCTAGTTAGTTAAAACATAAACCAAGTTTTCAACTTTTCTTTTCAAACACAATTCAAATGGGTTTACAGTGTTATGCGCCTTGCCGTTAAACTCAAAAGTGAACTTTTTCTTGATTTCTTTCCACCACTTAACACTGGTTTTCTAAATGTTCATTTTCCCCTCTTACCTTTATAACTGCTATTGTATTTACATGGTATGTTTTTGCTCTCTTTATAGCTTTAGTGTGCATTTTGTGTATTATGAAGGTGTTGACGTAAGTATGTTTAGAAATGTGTTCACGTGATTCTCCAGTGTACAATGTTTTAGATGTAATATAATACCAGTTATTTCTTGTCTACACGTACTCACTTTCAGACGGTAAGACTGACTTGGGACGGAAGGATTATGTATCTCAAGTTATAATTATTCCGTAAAATTCTTGCTTATAAACGCTTATAAACTCGTATCAAATATTGTTTTAAATATTTCGTCTTTTATAAAATTTTGTATTCAAAAATAACTTGGATTAAAAACAATTTACTCGTATATACAAATTTATTGAACTTTGAAAAAAAAAAAAAACGGATTTTGCTTGTAAAAACGGGTGTAAGACATGTAAAAAAGTTTGTCGGGCGCGATAAGGGTCGGCGGGTGCGGAAAATTAAATAAAGATTGCGTGTGATTTTATGAGCACTCTGAAAACAAAAACTGTAACCGTTTGCTTCGCGTGTTTCCGGGCTTAATTGAGCGACCTGTTGCTGCTTAGTTTAATAACGGGAAGGGCTTTACGCGGGCTACTTACAGGACTGGGAACATTGCTACACTATACTCTATAATGACGAATGGCTGAATGTTCTGTAAAAGTAACTGTGCACATTTAACTAATACCTCAAAGTTAGCTAGATGACAAGTGTATTCCTGTCTTTTGGTGTTGTCAACAATAATATATAGATGTTTTATTATTTGATGTTTATGTTGTTCACTTGTAATCTTTATCCTTATAAAATTGTTGAATATACCCAACGAGCGTTGATAGCTCTTTTATTTTGAATGAGAATTCTATTGTTGTTAAGGCACACGATGTATAGATTTTTTGAGCCGTTATCTATTTGTATTGTTCAAGTTTTATTTCCTTTTTTAATTTACATCTGCTGTTTGATTTATCACATAGTTGATGTTTTACGGTCTGTGAAATGTATAATTTTGTGTTGTATTTCTCATCCACTGTTGTCTTTTTTCTCTGTTCCACAGACAGGAAGCTGTTCGCGGGGATGCTTAGTAAGCAACAAACCGAAGAAGATGTTAGACAACTCTTTGCACCTTTTGGAACAATAGAAGAGTGTACGATTCTTCGTGGACCTGACGGGACAAGCAAAGGTAATTTTTAAACCGTCTTTGTTTAAATCAAACGAACATTAACAAAAACGGCGTTAAAGTAAAAAAAAGACTTATCAAGTAAAATGAAAATCTATATTCTTGTATAAGTATAACTCAAGTAGATTGCTTTTTCAATTCGCAATTATCCATATTATTTAGAAAATTAAAAATTTCATCTAGAGTAACTAATGTCAATTGTATTAAATACTATTTCAAATAAACAAACTTGGATCATAACATCATTTTTACAAAAACTTGTTTGATTGTCGTTTTGTCCCAAAGAAAGGAACAATGTCAAAAAAATTCAAAATAAAATTTTAATTATATTACAAAATACAAAACAGTTTATACAAGGGTTGTTTTGTCATAAAAATTTTTGAGTGTAAAATCTACACTGATCAAAAATTGAGTCACTCAGTTTTGTGTGAATTTCTTCCATCATGATAGTATGATTTTGTTTCAGTTAACAGAATTATAACAAGAAATCCTTTTTTTTTTTCAAATTTTTGAGGGTAAAAAACCAACTAAACTATAAAAAAATCTTTATGGTCGAAACAAAGTGTGATGGGTGTTTACGAACATAACAATCTTCTTTTTTCACTTTTATGACCTATGCATTTTGAGTACAGTGACATGTAGCATGTTTTAAGGCTCGCGGGGACTAAAACTCCTTTAGTCCGAATAAATTTTCATTTCAATTTTAACAAAATAATTTTAATGCTTTTGAAAAAAGCCCAAACAAGCAATAAATAATGTTAACTGCAAGTTTTCAAAAATATAACAGTAGACTATACACTATAATCAGGGGGCATCTGTGGCAGAGTCGTTACAACGTCTGATTCATATTTACCACGATAGCGGTTCTGGGTTCGAATCATGGTAAAGCCTTTGGAATTTTAATTGAATTTTCTTAGCAAAAAATATTGTAAAATGTATCTGACCCCTTAGCGGGTAGTCGGACGTCTAGACTTCTTATATGACAGAAATTACTTTACTTTTATAGTGTAAACTCAGTAAGATATGCATATTTATTTAAATTGGGTGAAACATTAACTTGGTTCAACATGGCTAATGAAATATTTTGGTCAATTTGTTCCCAAAATTTTTTTCTTATAAGCTAGACAATATCATTTAGAAAATTGACGCAAGCATATCAATAATCAATGCTAACAAAACAGAGAAATAGAAAAAATGACCTTTTAGAATTTTAGCAAAACACTACCGAGTTGAAAATTTTATTTTAACTTAGAATAGACATGCCTACCTTATCAAATAGGAAGAAAATACTTCAAATTTGGTTAAACATCGATTTAGTTTTAAAATGGCAAATCCAATGGGCATAATCTGTTATTTCAATAAGTGATTATACAAAAAACTTTAGATTTTACCCATTACTTTTTATTAATTGGAATTTTATTTTAGAATATTTGAAAGTATTGTAAAATGGTTACTCAGATGGTAATTGATTGTCAAGCCCTTCTGTATGAAAGATGTGGTGAGACAAATTGTATGAAATGATTTTTATGTTGTTTCTCAGGCTTTCGATCGAGTCTGGCACTTGAGTTTGCTATGCACACTACCTCATTTTTAAATCATACCTGGCAGACAGATAGGTTAGAGTATAGGTCGGATCCTCTCACTCCTTTGTACAAGGTGGATTCGAGAGTCCCTCAGGGTTGCGTCCTCGGCCTACTACTGAACTCAGTATATACTTCTAATATCCCTTCTCATCCGAAACCACTAGCCTAACATACTGATCAGCGTATTCTATCCTTCAATTTCGACCCCTCGTAGCTCACCGAACCCGACAAACAAACCTATATTCTATTGAACAATGGAACAAAAATGGTGAATCGAACTAAACACTGCAAAAATGCAAAACATAATTTCACTTTTTGTCGCATCACCAATATATTATAACCTCACCCCTTCCACCTGAAACCGCCATCCTATAATTAGAAAAAACGACTCACCTTGGAATCCCCATAGACGACGCAAAAGGATAAAAGGATGGACAATCCGATTACTTAAAAAACTACTAGACAACAGATGTAACAAAATATTCATACACAACACAATATGGACATACGGCGTAAAACTATGGAGTTCAATCAAACTTCACAATATCCGCAGAATCAAAATCTTACAATCACCAATCATTAGATCCATCGTTCTATGTTTCTAACCGTATTACCCATAATACTTACTTTCAATCCCCACGTACTACATTCCTCCCGACCTCTTCCCATCAATCCTCCTCGATGTAGTGGCTCCGCGACCTGCTCTAGGAGAGCGAGAGTTATTAGTTATTAGGAGTGATATCAGTGGATAGCTTCTCCACTATGTATCTTTTTGGTTTGGTTTTTCTTTTAATTTGAATTATGTTGATATCTATGTAACTTTATCTATGTATCTTCTCGCGGTTTGTTGCTCCATTACTCAATAAAAAATATTTTAAAAAATTTGTTTTTCGTATTCATGTTTTTGTTTTTTTTTTAAATAAACTTCAGTTTGTAATGCTTTACCGTTAATTGCATGATTTTCTAATTTTGTATGCAATCAAATTGGGCTTAGGGTTCGTAAAGGCATCTGAGATTTAGCACCCCCTGCTCATAGCCACGGATTAAAACGTTTCGAAGGATCAAACAGGAGATAATGACAATTCTCAACCCCCTCGGTTTTAAAAACGGGCCAAGTGGCCTAATATCTGTAGCAATTAGGGAAGTGGGCGTATGTTGATATAAGGGTCGACGTCAGAGAGGACACTTAAGCCGGAACATTAATGCTTGGGGGGCCATTTACTTAGCACGTCACCTGCGTTCCAGATAGCGTCTCATCACGTGACCTGAATTCATGCCACCTTTTATAATTAAACCTTAGGGGTGGGGGCTACCCTCTCGGCACGGCTCTTTACCGACATTCTCTTACCCTCTTAAGGAAAAATGATAATTCTTTCCCAGCTTAAAAAAGTTTATCTCCCTCTTTTTACGACTCGCTACGTAATTATTAAAACGCACATTCCGCTCCGGGAGAAAATACTTGAATTATAAATGTACTGCGTTATTAGGTCCCCTTCTTTACTCGAGCACAAGGGGCCACATCCGGCTGCTTATTTAATTAACACTCCTTCTCTAATGAAAACTTCCACCTCTTTCGAAAGAAGAATTTCTTACGTGTAAAAAAGAAGAAACACCTCTCGTTACCCAAGTCCACTTTTATATATTTATATACCATCTGCATTTTTATATTTTAAATAATGTATTATCATTAAAGATATTCAAAATTTTAATGAAGAAAAACCTTAAAATTATAGAAAACCACAAAAAAAGGCGGCAGAAGCCAAAGAAAACTTTGAATTATTGAGGATCTGTAAACGAGACGTAACAAACTCGATAGGTATATCAAAATATTGGTCAAAGGTAAATGTACAGCATAATAGGTATGGCCTGTTTTCCCAAGACAAATCTTCAACATCAGTACAAATCATACTGTGGCCTAAAATGATTATATGAGTTTTCTACACACAGACAAAGTAAAGCTTAATCTAATCATCATGAAGGAAGGGTGAGTATCAAGGCTTTTGGAGTTATTAAAAAGGCTGAAATTAGATGAAGGACTGTAACTGAAGGAGCAAAAATATTCCATCAAAGACTCTGTACCAAAAGATCTTTAACACGAACAACTATATTACGTCCCACTGATTCAAATATGAAAAAGTAAGAAAATCCAAAAAATCCAAAAAAATACAAATCCTTCAAGTTGACAGAAATTGATAACTTCTGTCCTCCAAACCCTTGCAAGCACTATCGACGCAGCTTAAGCAGCTAGATTTAACAATAATAATATAGTATTAATATTTATTTCAATTAATTAATCTTTTTATGTAAGGTTTTTGTTGAAATGAAAACGTTAGTGCCACGAGCGGGATTCGAACCCACGGACCTTCGGCTGAATACGCCGCTGTTCTAACTACGTGAGTTGTACAGCAGCGGTGTATTTAACCGAAGATCGTGGGATCGAATCCCGCTCGTGGCACTAGCATTTTCATTTCAATCTAAACCTTACATAAAAAGATTAATTAATTGAAAGAAGTAATTTGTTCAATATACCACTAAATATATATTAATAATGATACTATATTATCAGTATATGAATATTATTAATATATGAATAATAAATACTATAAATTCAATAAAACTTAATAATTGGTCAAACTGTTACCACAAGGATTTATAATTAATAATCTTATATCTTTTCTCTAATACTATCGTCTGATAGATATTTAATTATTTTCTAAGAAAACAACAAAGGAATGTACCAATAGTTAGTTATAGTTATTGCAAAGTGCTTTACTGTTTTTTACTATATTATATTTTATATGATTTTAGTTTCCATCTCAACTTTTCTGAGCTTTAGCTATTTTACATATGGAGGTAAATATAGACAGACAGTAAAAAGTCAAAGCAATATTGAAAAAACTTACATAAGGATTTTATATCGATATCCCAGGGGAGGCAGAAATGATTGATAGATAGATAGATAATAGAGAGAGAGAGAGAGAGAGAGAGAGAGAAGTAAAACGTCTATGGTAAAATTTTACTATAATCTCTCATAAAATTACTTTTTCTTATCCAACTATTTTACATAATCATGAATGCTGACTGTTCTTACCTAAATTTCACAAAAATGTATGCCAGATTTACTTCAGACAAACAAAATCAAGTCGTTGTTTATAAGATGTAAACCACTAGTTAAAACTATCGATAAAAATTTGTGCATTTTACATTTTAATGTAGTTATTTTCTTTTTATGCTTTTTAAGTTAGTCTATTGCTTTTCATATGCAGTTCTATATGGATCATATCAATGCTAAATAAATATAAAATTACACGATTATGAAAATAATATATGCAATTTGAACGATCAATTTCGTTAGGACAAGAAATCGTTTGGATTAGTAAAAATGTACAAAATATTATGAAAGCGAATTTCTCATTAGAA